TTCTAGGTTTGGTTTGCTGCAGATAATTTTATAAACTAGGCATTATTAGGTCACATTACTTTAAGCATTAGGTATGAATTTTATATGTACCATAACATTGCCAAAACAAGCTGGTTATAATTTTAAAGACTTTCTAAAATGCTGGTTGGGCAATACACTGACTTGCTTCTATAAATATTTTATTATGGACTAATATAGTTCATGCATGAAAAAATTCTTCCAAAAATAGAAAAGCAGCATTTCCCAAATCTCCAACATATGTGTACATTGACTCACTTATATGCTTCCGCACCGAAGACATATGGCATACTGGAGTTGCTTGCTTAATAACTAAATCTTACTGTTTAAGATATTTTAGTTGAAAATCAGTGTATAAGGGTGCACAAAAGTAGGTTTACAGTTGTGAGTATGCAAAACAGTTTAATCTTGTATTTTTATATATTGATTATTGTATTATTTCCCCTACAAATAACTATAGACCTGCTTTTGCCCACCCCTGTGTAATAAATGTTTACCATTTGAACATTTAAAATACACAGCTCTGTCCCAAACAATGTGAAACATGTTAAGAGTAACCTGATGCATAAATAGAATAATGTACACCTATATATTCATAATGTTGCTATCTATAATATAAAAACCCAGTGGCCCTAATGCCATAACGACCAAAGACTGGCGCAGGTGGGCAGGGCTGCGCAATTTCGCGCACTGGACTTCTAGTATATATATAAAAGTATAAGTCATATAAGTGAACAAACAAAGTACATATCTGCAAATCATTCTGGGTAAAGAGGCAAAAAATTGAGTGAGAAGTAAAAAATAGTGCTGCTGACAACTGAATTAAGGTAGAAAAGCATAGAAATATCTCAAAAAATGTTTTTTAGTAGACAGGTGTTAAATAAAGGTTTAAAACTTAGACCAAGATTAACTGATAAAAGCACAGTAACGCAATCTTGGGTAAAATGAGGTCCACTAAAAAAAAGAGCCCCTCTGTGAGATAATGTATTTTATTGTGTTGTAACTTAAATATCGACACGTGTACATTATTTCTCATGCAATTATGAAACCAAAACAAATTCACAGATACAAAGATACAAAGCCAATAGCATTTAAATTGGCTTTGACAAATGAATTTTTTGCTAAAAATAAATCTGACTAAAAGTGTAAGTTTTTTCTCAGTTTTACTGTAAGTTGACAACTGTATATATTTAAAATGCACAACTTGACAATTTGATATACATATATAACTCAATATGAAACTATCAATCAATAAATACCCCAATTTTTAAAAAGGCCAAAAGACCTAAATAGATTATTCAAAAGAAGACATACAAATGACCAACAAGTAAATGAAAAGTATATGCTCAACTTCACTAATCATCAGGCAAATTAAAAAAAAAAAATGAAATACCACCTCACACCTGTTAAACAAAAGATGTTAAGTCGTGGTAAGAATGTAGAGAAAGAGGTACCCTTGAATGCTGTTGGTGAGAATGTAAATTGGTACAGCCACTACAGGAAAGAATATGGAGCTTCCTAAAAATTAAAAATAGAACTACTTTATGATCCAGCAATCCCACTTTTGAGAAAGTAAGCTAACTTTTAAATACAAGCATGTAATCTCAAGTCAATGTACTCTTTCATCTGTGTTAACATTCATGTTACTAGAAGTATGTGGTACAAAAAAGATATCAATAAAGTTATAACATTTGGGGGAAGGCCATAATGGTGAAAATTCAATGAGATGATACATTTCAAGCTGGTTCAAGACCTCATATTTAACCATATTTGACCAAAATCTCAGCCAGCATTTAAACATTGAATACCAGTTTTAATGAGATATGAAGCTGTGCTGGTTATTTCAAGATAATGTTAGCAATACCATCTTGTTAAAATCTGCATTAGTTTTGTATTTAATCCAATCAGACCAGAATGGAAAATAGAAAAATTATATCTAACGTTAATTTTTAATTTTTAAGTCTTACAGATTGAAAATAAATCAAAATTCAGTTTTAGTAAATAACTTATCCAAATGTTGAAGAACACCAGAAAATACTGAAAATGGCTCATTTATAGCACTTCGAAAACAACCTGGTCATAAATCAAGTTTTTTCTTTTGAACAAATGCTTCGGCTTCTAATATTTAAACTATTAAAACCTCTGCTCATTCAGTGTTCTGCTCACTTGGAATGAACATATAATTTATGTGTCAAGTCTGTCTCTGCTCTTTTATCATTGACTATGACAACTAAAGCAATGCCTACTGTCATTTTCATGATGTGAAATCCAAGTCTTAATTTATTAAATAACTTAAGAAACAGACTTTTATTCTAGGAAAATGTCATGCCTTTGTTCATTCAAGTTAGAATCTCATGTGAGTCCACACATGGTATTTCAATCCCAAAATGCCCCACCCAGAACATTCAGAGACTGCCACTGCCTGAGTGACCAACACACACAAGACTAAGGTCATTCAAGGTCCTCTGGGGAGTCCAAGAATTCAAAATAAGACTAGGCTATGCTGGAGAGTAAACTTATAGTCACTTAAAAGATATCATTAGCACTTTCACCAGAACAAATTTCCCCCAAGCTAAAGTCCTGGTTTAGCTACCAATTTTTGAAACTTGGCCATACCTAAACCTAATGCTTAGAATAACCAGCCTACTACTTGTGGAAGACCCAGACAATGTTGGAATCGTGCTGAAATCCATTGATTGAGGCATTGTGGAAGCCCACTGCTCCCATAAATCAACATGATTGCAGTGGATTATGTATCACAACTCATAGCCACACAGCATTTCCTGGGGCCTATTCTTACAGCGCTCATGACTGCCTTTTGGGGAGTCTCTGAGTTTACTGGTTTCTTGGTAATTGCATGAGGTTTGTTGTGGCTTTCGTGGTTCCTTTGAAGTTAAGTCCTATACTGAATTGAATTTTTTTCTTTTGTATTACTACCCCAATTTTCTAGAGTCACCCAACAAACTTCAAAAGAACTTTTTCAAAGCTACTTACAACCAACTGGCCATTCAAATGGCTAGCTGAAACTAATTGTGTAGTGAGGTGAAGAGTGTCCCCCTAAACTCCATGTCCATTGAAACCATTAGTATACAACCTTATTTAAAAACTAGAGGCCTAATGCACAAAATTCGTGCAAGGGGCTCAGCCCTTGCAGCCCCAGCTTCATCTGGAAGGTCGTCTGGATGGCTGTTCTGCTGTTCAGTCTAATTAGCATAGTAGTTCTTTATTATATAGGACTAGAGGCCTGGTGCACTAAATTCGTGCATTCTGGGAGGGGAGAGGGAGTAGGTCTCTCAGCCCAGCCTGTGCCCTCTCACAGTCTGGGAGCCCTTGAGGGATGTCCCACTGATAGTGGGGGAGCAGGCCTAAGCCAGCAGTCGGACATCCTTAACACTGCTATGGAAGCAGGAGAGGCTCCCGCCACTGCCACTGAGCTCGCCAGCTGTGAGCCTGGCTCAGGGCTTCTGGCTGAGCGGCGCTCCCCCTGTGGGAGCGCCTGCCCCCTGGTGGTCAATGTGCATCATAGCAACTGGTTGTTCCACCATTCAGTCGATTTGTATATTAGTCTTTTATTATATAGGATAAGGTATTTTGAAGATGTAACTAGTTAAGAGGAGGTCATACTAGATTAGTGGGGGCCCTAAATCCAATTACTGGTGTCCTTAAAATAAGAGAAGGCCCACAGAGGCACACAAAAAGAAGGCCATGTGAAGACAGGAGTTGAGATTGGAATGATGCATTGATAAGCTAAGGAATTCCAAGAATTACCAGGAATCACCAAAAGCTAGGAAGAGGCAAAGAAAGGCTTTTTCCCAGAACCTTCAGAGAGATCAAGGCCTACTGACACCTTGTTTTGAACTGTGGCCTCCAGGACTGTGAGACAATACATTTCTATTGTTTCAAGCCACTGAGGTTGTAGTCATTAATTACTACAAACTAGGAAACTGATACAAACTCCAAAATACTTAGGGCTCTTTTTCATTTATTTCTGTAAAGCCCACTATGACAATAAAATCAAAGGAGGAAAGTCAGGCAGTAACAAACTCTTTGACAGAGGCACTGGGGTGGTTAATAAATGCATCTGTAAATGAGCTTCCCACCTCACTCCTGTCCTTCATCTCTTCTATTAGGTGCATCTGATTGTACAGTGTGAAATACGTATGAAACTGTGCCATCCACTTATTTAACCTCTATGAAGGTTAACATTACCGAAGGAAGAGATATCCCATGAAACAAATTTCTTTTCTATTTTTTAAAAATATATTTTTTATTGATTTCAGAGAGAAAGGCAGGGGAAGAGAGAGATAGAAACATCAATGATGAGAAAGAATCATTGATTGGCTGCCTTCTGCATACCCCCTACCGGAGATCAAACCTGCAACCCAGACAAGTACCCTGACCAGGAATTGAGCCATAATCTCCTGTTTCATAGGTCAATACTCAACCGGCTAGGCCCTTCCTTTGCTTTTTCTTTTATTTACTTATTTTTTGTTTCCCATTTGTTTCCCACTTCATGCTACATATTTTTCTATAGTCCTGGAATTCCTTTCCACTTCAAGTCCTTTCTTTATACCCCTTTATATCTTCAAAATGCTTCAAGTTAATGACATCATGCTGAATGTTATCAGCCTATAATATTTATCACATAACATTATTCAGCATTCATAAATTAATAGGTGCCTTGTTTGGGGCTCAGTCACTCATAGGTGGCATTATAGACTCAACTCGGCCTTCATGGAGCTGGTGGAAAGGCCACCTAGCTCCTTCCCAGATATTCCAAGACTTAGCGCCTTACACAATTTATTTCAGTTTTTAAATATTCTTATACATCATAGTTTTATCAATCAATAGAGTGAAACCCTATTTTAAAAGACTTCAATATAGATGAAATAAAGAGATGTTTCACTTTACTGAAATTAATACAGTGATTTAGATTTTCAATGCATTTTTGTTTTTAGCTTAAGTAACAGGGGAAGGCTCACCTTGACAATCCCCCGGATGTGCATTTTGGCAATCATCTCTGCTGTGTATAGAAACATCAATAAAGTATCCAGAGTAAAGGTCACATACTGAAGAGGAGGATAGTGTTCGAACGTCATGGGTGTGTTCATACAGACAGAGATGACGCTGATGATGGCACAGATGCGCAGCAAAGAGTGAACCCACTGCAAAATAGTCCAAAGTTATTATTTGACATCATGAAATGGTATCTTAAACTTGCATTATGAACCACAGCATTTGGAAAACATAATATTGAGATTGAAATATTTCACCAGTATGAAAAAGAAAACCAATGTCTGTTAAGTGCATATAAAATATTTCACATATTTTACATAAGTTAATTCTCAAGTCAGCCTAATTTTCACATCAATACACTAAGACTCAGGAAGATTAAGAAATCTTTCTGTGGTCATGCATTAATAAGAGCCAAAATCTAGCTGTGACATTGCTCAGGCCTCAATACAGGGTGATTGTGATCCAATTAAAATGTTAGTAACTTATTCATATGGAAACTTACGATACTGGAAACTTATTCATATGGATGTACTGTTACTTTTAAACTTTTTAATGTTTAAAACATAGAATAGAGATCATATTATGTTTATTGGTATCTAGCACAAATCACAAATGCTTTTTAAAATGAGATGATGCATAACTCTGCCCATGTATAGGGTTTTCTTTCCATATGTATCTTAGATGTACCATTCTTAAAAATATATTTTAAAATCTGATATCAGCCTACATTTTCAAAAGATAATAAATGGACCTTCCTCTTTATTTAGGAAAATTATACAAATTTAGCCAAGTTATCTTTTCCAAAATTCCAAAAAATAGGTTTCTGTGTAATTCATTCTAGCAGTGTATATGCTGTGTGAAGATTTTCCTTAAGCCCAACATAGAGAAGTAGGAATTAAAAAGATAAATGTGTGGAAACCATAAAAGTATGAGAAGAAAACATAGGCAGTAACATCTCAGACATTTCGCATAGCAGTATTTGTTCTGATATGTCTCCTTGGGCAAGGGAAACAAAGGAAAAAACAAACAAATTGGACTACATCAAACTAAAAGGGTTCTGCACAGCAAAAGAAACTATCAATAAAATGAGAAGGGAACCCACTGTAAGGAAAACATATTTGCCAATAATACATCTCATAAGGGGTTAATATCCAAAATATTTAAAGTACTTATACAACTCAACACCAGGAAGACAAATAATCCAATTAAAAATGGGCAAAAGACCTGAATAGGCACTTCTCCAAGGGGAACATAGAGATGGCCAATAGACATGAACAAATGGGCAAAAGACCTGAATAGGCACTTCTCCAAAGGGAACATAGAGATGGCCAATAGGCATGAACAAATGCTCCATGTCACTAATTATCAGAGAGATGCAAATTAAAACCATAATGATATATCACCTCACACCTGTCAGACAGAAACACAGACCAGAGTTAAATTAGGGCTTTTCACAATGCTGACATGCCGAGCTGAAAAGGTTCGCCATCACTGGACCTAGAGGGTGTTCTGCTGAGTGAAATAAGTCAGTCAGAGAAAGACAAACACCACATTATCTTGCTTTTATATAGTATCTAATGAACAAAATAAACTAACAAAATAGAAACATAGGCATGCATACAGGGAACAGACTGACAGCTGTCAGAGGAGAGGGGGCTGGGAGACTGGATCAAAGAAGGTAAAAGGATTAAGCAAAAAGCGGTAGGTATATAACACAAAAAAACACAGAGAACAGTGTGGTGATAGGGAGAGGGAAAACGGGGTGGGGCTAGGTGGAGGTAGGCAGAGAGGGGGTTGGGGACAGAGAGTATGCTTGAGGTGATACAGTGTGCAGATGATGTTTTACTGAGTTGTACACTTGAAACCTGTACCCCGATAAATTTAATAAATAAGTTAATTAGTTAAGATAAATGTGTGTATGCATGTGTGTGTTTATGTGTGTATACCTGTGCATATGTGTAGGATATACAATTACTCACATACACTATTTTATTATAAAAACAATACCTGAGATAAAACATATTGGTTGTACCTTTATGCCAAACCCAGTTAGTATTACTATTTAATTAATTAGTAGACAATTCTTCAATATAATTTAAATGTTATTTGTTAACCTTTTAATATTATATTCCCCTTGAACAAAAGCTGCTTTGTGTAGTAGGTAGGCCCTGCATCTATGCAAGCTGGCAAGCACCCAAGATGAAAAAATAGAAAAGACTGTCAGAAGTTTGAAAAGATTCAGACACTTGTAGGCTGGTGGGTGGGTTTTAATATTAATCTGGCAGTTATAATATTTGCATGAAGATGTAATGCCACTAATGTCATACCATATAAGTCACTGCTGATTGATGTACTTTTCATGCAATTAGGAACTGCTTCAGTAAACATCAGTGTGTGAATTTAGCTCCAACACAAACGAACTAATTACACAAAAGAGCTCGAAAAGAAGGGTTCCTCCACAACAAATCTGTTTCAAATGTAAAGTATGAATTCTAGTTAAGTATTAATTATTTTAGTTAGTGTTTACAAGGCTACATCTCTAATACTACCTTTGTTAGAAGTTCTCAGAAAGCTCTGTATGTGGTGGACTCTATTCTCTATTCTGTTCAATTATTTCAACACAAATGGAAGACTTACTGTGTGTCAGAAATTATGCAGAGGACAATAAATGGAAATAAGAAGGTTCTGACTCATCACTACTTTGCAGTCTGATGTGCATAACCTATATATTTTATTTATACACAATATAAATGTATACTTATATCTACACTAATAAATGAGAAACATGCAAATTAACCATCACTCTGCCACTCCACTACACCCACCAGCCAATCAGAGCGACTATGCAAATTAACCCAACAAAGATGGCAGTTGATTTGCATAAGCAGGCGCGGAGCAAAGACTGAAGACTGAAGATGGCGGCAGCCACGGAACTGGAATGAACAGGAAGCTTGGGAGACGGAGGAAGCCAAGCTTCCCGCCGGCCCTGGACTCCGCTCAAGGAGTGGCTGGTGACCTGGGTCACCGGGGGCAACCCAGGCTTCCAGTCTGCCCTGGGCTCCACTCAAGGAGCTGGGGAGAAAAAAAAGAGGAGCTAGGAGCAGCCAGAGTGGAAACCAAAGGCCTGGGTCCTGGGTGCCGGAGGAAAACCGGTGCCGGCAGCCAGAGGAAGGAAGGCCTATAGCGCGAATCTTCGTGCAACGGGCCACCAGTACAAATATAAAATTAGTGGAACAGAAAGAGGTTCATTCTGTCTGTGGTGCAGGTCAAACGAGGAACTTTTCAGAGTGGATGGGGCACAGGTGACATCTGAAACGGACTTCGTTAATGAGGGGGACTTGACTCATCAGAGTTGCAAGGAAAGGGCCTCTGGGCAGGAAACTGTGAGATTACCGGAAGTCACTGATGTGGCTCAAGTGGACAGGGTATCGATCTAGGAAAGGGCAGTTGCTGGACAAGTTAGAGGCAGAATATACAGAGCCTTGAATATAAATTAAAGCATTTTATTTGCAATGTGGATAAATGATGTTTCAATGATCATAAAGCAGATGGGTTATGTGAACATAAATGAAAACATGAGAGGAAATGTGAGGAGACTGGGGAAGAGGTCTGGAGGGTGAGTGAGATGGAGAAAGACTAGAAACGTCAGGGAGACCATAGCTGATGATCTTGATCATGTTCAAGGGACAGGCAAGCACTGAGAGAGTAACAGTTTACTTCCTTACTTCAACTTCCACTTATCCTATTTTATATTTGCATGTAAGTATAAATGTGTATTGTATATAGGTAACATATATGTTATGCATATCAGACTGCAACGTAGTGAATCAGAACTGTGTTGTTTCCACTTTTGCATCCTCTGAGCCCAGCAAAATTTCTGACAAATAATGAAGCTGATCCTATCCTGGCTTGTAGAGCTCAGTTTCCAAGACCCATGGACATGCCATTCCACCTTAACTCTGGCTGTTCGCCTGGCTAATACACAGTGATACAGATCTCCCCCTCAAGTTCCCACCAGCTTAATTAGACAGAGAAGGTGACAAAGTTATTCAGAGATACTATGCACTATCTAATTAACCTTTACTTTTACTCAAAACTTGCAACTCAGAAGGAGACCTTTAATTCCAAACATTTGATTATCTCCTCACAGATTCATGCACGTTGAGAACTCTAAGTAATGAAAGCTTGGTAGAAGAGGTCACTCATGTGGGACGTCAGCTTTGGATCAGCCTGTGAAGTGGTATTATCTCCACACCTGGTGACAGTGAGGACAGGACAGCACACACAGAGCAAGAGAGCAGAGGTACTCACATACCTTCCTATGTGAGTAACTCAGAGAGGAACCTCGTTATTCATCTCATTTGTTCTTAACTTCCAGGCTCCTAGACTCATCCATAGTCAACTGCAGCTCAAACACACATTTCAAAGCCAAAGGGTACACGATCTTTGAATATATGAATCAAATTTCCTTTAAGTCAGCATGTGCTACTCCATACTTCAAAGAAGACACTTACTGGCTTGTTAATCCAGAGTATGTCAGCGTTGTCTGACAAAGATTCATCAGGACCAAAGTCAGTCACAGGCTGGGCCTCCACCCTGGAGCTCTGTTTCCTTTTGAGCATGCTGGAGTTAGCTCTGGTGAGGGAGCGCAAAACGGCAGTCTGGGGAAAGAGAGTTCTGTTAGTGACCTAAACCATCTTTACCCTGATCACTAAAAAGACAAGTGCCTCATGGATGCCCAGTCATATATTGATCACACACTCATTCCATTATACTGTACATAATAAACATATGCAAACAGAAATTTTAAAAGAATGCGATAAAAATCAGTATGAATAAAAGCTTGATACTTTTTTTTCTCGAGACCCAATAGATCATCTTGTGTACTTCTTAAACAGTTTGCATGCCAGTTTAGAGACCACTGGTCTAGATGAACTGGAGTGAAATGGCTTTCCCCCTAAGAGTACACACATTAGTAGGAAATTTTTTGAGGTCTATGTTCATACACCTAAATCTGCCTCCACTTAAAGGAAGTCTTGCCAGAGCACAGCTGACCAATGCAGATGAAATACTCAGATGTTCCCAGGATTTTCCCTCGGGTTAATTTAATGGGACACTCACAGACATCTGTTTCCAATGACAGCCCCAAGTTGATCTTCTGGTTGTGTCCTTGCCATAATGGATGTGAGCCAGAGAGCATGGGGCAGAAATTACTGTAAATGGAGTTGTTTTTTCTTTTATGAATTGTATTATATCAATTCTTTCAGCTACTCTGAAGTAAACCCAGATTACATTGAAGAGGGAGATGAGATGCTTGCTTGCACATAAATTCCCACTATTCTGAGTCATCTACATCTTGCTATATGTCACCTCCCTTTAGCCGTTGCTACCACCCCCCATCCAGCAGCCACTGAACAGAAACCTAACGTACGTCCTGCTTTCAGGACACAAAAGCGAGTAAGTGCAAGAGATGTTGTAAAGGCAGGTGGTGCCTGATGACCCTGTCTATCCACAGAGAGATTTCTTATTTGATTAACACCTGGATTGAGTCTTAGAGGAAGAAGAGGAGTAAATGTATTTTGGACATATACTATGTTTGGGGCACTTTGCAATGATATTTTACTTATTCTTTACAACTAATGGAGGAAAGAAAAGATCTAGTCTTTTTATGAAAGCACTGGAAACTCGAGTCTTGGGGCAGCTAATAACTTGACCAAGGCCGCCTAGGCAAACTTGAAATTTAAAAGAAGCTCTATTTGGTTACAAAACCTAAGGTGTTTATCCTTGACCACACTGATGTTGAGCACGGATTAGGAGAATTTCCAAAAGATAAGGGAGGGATTAGGTCCTCCAGGCAGCTCACAGTGGTGAAGATGCCATGTCACGAAAATGCAGTAGTGTTAACACCAGGCAGGTGCACTGGCTCTTTTATCTGCTGCCGCATGAAGCTAGAGAAAGAGCCAAAACCAAGGACAATGAGTGCCATTCAATCCCGGAGGGAACAGAAGATGGAAACAATGTGTTTATAGTGTGTGCAACTGCAATTTTTACTGGGAAGGAGAACACAAAAGCTCAGGACAAATGGATGTTGAATCTGAGTCCCTATGTTTGAGCACCTACCTCTATATCTATTTCTTGAATGACAGTCTCTTATGTACCCAAAACTGAATACAGAATCTTTTAGAAATCCTTCAAGATTATACAATGCAGAGGATGAGATAAAGAGTGCCTTCACAGTGTTGTTCAAAAGCAATAGAAGAAAATTTTATAGACCTAGCTACTAGCTTTAATATCACTTTCAATGAGTCAGTGGAGACTTATGAATGGCCATTTACTGTTCTTATGACTTGGCCCTAAATTGCATCTGAAAAAATATTTTATTCATAAATGTGACACCTTCACATATTAATGCCATGCATTTTATTATAAATACCTCATCCAAAGCAAAACAAGTGATTACAGATTCGTTTATCCAGAATTCATTTTTTTTTAAATCTCCATGTTGGCTATTATTTGGCCCACCAAAATAATGTAACTATAATGAGTGACATTAGTTGTCATCCACTCTCACCTCATTTTACCTACTGAAAAAGTGCCACCAACTCAAACTGCCCAAGAAAACTATCTGAACTATCTGTCCAAACTCTGCATATATTAAAACTCAACAACTAGCTCCTGAATCACTGACATTTTGACCAATTTAATAATATTAAATATTATGTAAAGCATGCAGGTAGCAAAATAAATTCAAGTTACAGACATATAAAGACTCCAAGATTAATTTGAGGCAATAGATTGTAATAATTTTCCTTTACATACATAAATATTGTTTTTCACATTTATTTATGTTGAATCAATATATCTGAGTGCAGCAAACCTGTTATTCCCCTGATAAAGAACAGCAGGCATATTTAAGTATCCTAGGTAAGATTATTTTGATAGGAAATTGCTTCTGTGTATCTTAGCCTTATCACCATTATGTATTTATAACCGAATATTTTTTTCTGTTTGCAGAAGTGTCTTTTATAAAGCACTGTATTAAATTAAAAATATATATGGCTTCCACTAGATGTGTCACACTTTTTAAAAGTAGTTGGTATTTAAATATTCAATAGTATGAGGAGGCCACACAGTTACAATATGTTCGTTGATCAATCTTTTGCTCAGACAGAAGAGGTCCTTTGGTTCATTTGTTTTATTTTAAGTGGTTAACATCCAGCTTTATATCCTTTGATAGCTATATACTTTCCTTAGGTCATTCCAGCTCTCTCTTGACCAAATTAAAGCTAATAAATTCAGTTTTCTTTAACTGTGAGGTGTTATAACACTATAGGTCATTTCTTCTCCTTGTAAGAAGCTTCTCGGGTTTCCATGAAACTGTTTTGAATCTTCTGTCTTCTAAATTATGGTTTACAGCATGTCCCTTACTTACTGTCCCATGTGTCTGTTCTCTATACTCAACCTCTGAAATGAGCATCTGCTCTTATAATTTCCACCACCATCTGTCGGTGTCCAGCTACTGTTACTGAATCATGTATCTATGCTGCTTCTCCCTGAGATATAGGCCATACCACCACCATCACTTAAAAATCAACAGGCCGACTTGATATCAGTCTCAATTTCCAGATCCCACTCCTCTGAGCTTTTCAGGACCCATGTGCAGGTCCCACATCTGCAGAAGGACTACATGGACATTCTTTTCACAGGTTTTCACAGGTGATTTCTTTTGTCCTTCCTCATTCCATTGGTATACAAGGCCCCTTTCACTTTATTCCATTGCTAGAGCCCTTTCTAAGCCACGGGACCTCAGATCAGGACTGCCACAAATATCAACCATTTAAATATATCCTGTCCTTCATATCAGAAATCAACTTCCCAACACACGGATAGGGTCTCTCCAGAAAAACCTCAGCTGATCCTCTCTTTCTCATTCATTCACACAGAAAATACACGCATCCAAATGGTATCAGACACTGGGATGTATGCTGGGTACACAGCATGGAACAGCAAAGGCATCTGGAGAACTTACAAATTGCCTGCTTTACTTAACCTGATGTTTCAAGGACACAGTCCCACTGAGTTTACTTGCACTTCCTTTCATACCTGTACCCACAAGCTCTACTTGAATTGGTGAAACATACCATTACCCACCATCCTTCAACCTTTCTCAGCCACTTCTGCTCCTGTCTTCCAGCAGTGCCCTCTTTGTTGTCTGCTGCCAGTCCCACAGCAGACCTTCCTAGTCCCATACTTAACTCATGAAGTGTTATGTTTGTGTGTGTGATTTGTTTAACTGAAAGATTTAAAGTTTGGGGATAAAAGTGTAAACAAGAGAAACATACCTCTCTAGTAGACTCACAGCATCTATTTGATGCTAAAAAGCCCCCAAAGAATACATAAGTCAGTGATTTATTTTTAAGCATTAGGTGTCACTACAACTGACAACACACCAAAATCAACTACCGTTCTTCTGGTCACTTATGTGTACAAACTGAGGCCTTTACCAGTAAAAGGGTACAGCCACTATGGAAAACAACATTGGGGCCCCTCAAAAAGTTAAAAATAGAACTATCAATTTTTGAATTTCTTTTGTTAATCCTCAACCAAGGGTATTTTTTTGCACTGATTTTTAGAGAGAGTGGAAGGAAGGGAGGGGAAGGGGGAGAGAGAGAAACAATAGATCCAGAGATAAGGAAGCATGGAACAGACTGAAGAGTCTCAGAGGGAAGGGGAAAGGGGGAAGGGAGAAAGGGGAAGAGGGAAGGAGGAAGGGGGAAGAGGGAAGGAAAGAGATTAACCAAAGAGTTTATATGCATAACCAATGAACACAGACAATAGGGAGGTGAAAGCCTGGAGGGCAGGAGTGGGGTGGAGGGGTTCAATGGGGGAAAAAGGGGACACCAGTAATACTTTCAACAATAAAAATAAATTTAAAAAACAACACAGAACTATTATACAGCCCAGCAACTTCACTTTTAAGCCTTTATCTAAAAAGAATGAAAACTCTCACTCCATCTTGAATGGCTAAAACTATTATCATTCTTCAAGCCCAGATCACCTTGGTTCCCTGGTAAGGGCACTGAAAACCATGTCCCATACTCTCTCAGCACTCTGCACCTCCTTCCATGAGCTCACTTCTCACTGTCTATGCTGGACTCCAGCAACCCCAGTGTCTCCCGTTTAGTGGTACCAATTAGTTGCCTTTGATGTTAATAATCAAAACCATTTAAGGGACAGAATCTGTTCTAAAATTGAATAAATATTTACTAAACCAAGTATTTTATAAAATAATAATCCTCAAACATAGAGAGAAAGAGGAGAGAGAGAGAGAGAGAGAGAGAGGGAGAGAGAGAGACCTACTACAAATCTCACAAAAAGGAGATGAAATGATTTTGTAAAATAAGTTATTTACCATGGTAAAATAGTGAGCTCATCAGTTGATATCCTCCCAAATTCTGTTGACTGCCATGTAAAAACAGATTTGTCCAACAAAAATGTTTAAGAAATCTGAAACACCAATCAGAAAAAAATATATGCACCCCTGTTCATAGCAGCAGCACAACTTACAATAGCTAAGATTTGGAAACAACCCAAGTGCCCATCAGCAAATGAGTAGATAAAAAAGCTGTGGTAACCAGACATGCCCTGGAGCCAACTTCC